TAAGGGGAACAGCTGAGAAATGTCACACTTGATATCCTGAAATTTCATGTAAATTAGAATGTGTGCATCTCTAGAGGAGACTGAAGATGACATACATTGACAAATGGGCTGAATTATTAATGTGCAGCATCACTGTTTACAGAAACGATTTTCCAAATGGAGCAAAAGCCCAGTTAGGAACTCAGACTGAGAGCTTATGGTCATGCTGTTTTTCCTGGTTGTTTAATCTCTCCATCTTCAGTCTCAAGTTATCAGGTATAAACCCACAGCTCAATAGATCCAAGGTACAAAGTCTAGATAACCAGAGTGTGACTTCAACAGAGCAGAATTGGACGGGAACTCAAAGCCCAGTGTCTCCAGGGAGAGGCAAATGTGAAAATTCTCTAGCATCAGAGATCTAAGTGTGATGAGGGCACCATGGTCAGAAATGTACACATTGAGGTTTTATCTTCCTGAGACAGAGCATTTCCCCCAGGGCCGGTGCCTCCGTGAGATTTAACACTAGAGCAACTCTCAGGCAGCAAACTGCTCTAGGAGTGTCTAGGCTGAGAATTGAAGATAAATTGCCAAGTATGCCATCTACATGAAAATAAAAGAAGCAATAAGTTGAAGAGGAAAACTGAGGACTAGATAACCAATATCCTGGCATTCACGAATAAGGAGAGAGTGTTTTCTCTACAGAAGGGTGTGGGTTTCAATGGAGGGAGCCTCTCTAGGATACTCAATGGAACTTGGGTGTGCTGTCTGTTGGTACCAAGTTCATCACCCACTGGAATTTTCTACTTTTCCTCTGTAGCTAACCAGCATTCAACTCTACATACTTTCTAGAGAGGGAAAAGTGTTCCCAAAATTCACATATTCCTGACAGCTATTCTGTGACCATCTCCAGAAGTGAGATCCTAAAGACAGATTGCTACGTATGGTGTGCCTTGAAGAAAAAATGGAAGCTATCACTGCATAACATACAGGAATGGAGTTCAAGTGCTTCAAATGTCTGGCAAACCTGGCATTTTAAGAAAAATTGTGCCTGCCGGGCGGTGGTAGCACACGCCTTTAATCTGTGAGTTCAAGGCTGGGCTGGACCGACAGCCTCCAAAACAATACAGAGAAACCCTGTCTCGTAAAAAAAAGAAAAATTGCGCCTTACTTTTACCATTTTGGGGACTTCACTATGCAAAATTCTAAAAGCAAATGATATTTCTGAGTATTATATTAAATGATTTGCTTCAGAAAAAGCTTACAACAAAAAGCACTTCAGTTGTTTATTGTGAAGTATGACCATGTTATAGTCTTCATAATGTAATAAATTAGAAAGCCAAACAATTTTTTGAAATGGGAAGTTAGTCAGTAGGAACTGTGTGAGTTAGCTTAATGTACCAAGCAACCGCTATGTTTGTACACTAACCATCTCCCCTATCTAAATATCATTGTGTTGTTAGCATTTATCATAAAATTGAAAAGGATTGAACCTCACAGCACAACACTTAGTGAAAGAGTTGAGTCATGAAATAGAACTTGTATTGATTCTGCCAATATTTGAAACTTTGAAAATGAGCAAACCTAAGCAATGATGCAGCCAGGTGGGTGGTTCCTCTGAGGGAAATGGGGGTGATGAGGAGATGGGTGTGCCTGGGAGATGGGTGTGACTGAGTCGTGTGTGTAGACAGGAATGGCTGTGGTGTTTTGATTTTTAATACATATAGTCTCACAGATATGCATATTTTTCAAAATTTTATTGCTCTGTACATTTATTATTTGGTACCCTTTGGGTGTGGTTATCATATCTCAAAATTTATATTAACAATAAATTATCTATTTAAAGATAAATGTTAATGCTAACCAAAAGTTGAAGGTTGAATGCATCACATCTTTTTGTGTATGTCTGTGTGTGTGCATGTGTTTGTGTATTATGCATGTATGCATGTGTGTATGTGTGCGCATGCGGAAGCCAGAAGACAACCTGAGGTGTTGTTCCTCAGGTGTCATTCACCTTGAGACTAGTCTCACTGGCCTGGAGCTCAGCGAGTAGACTAGACTGGCATTGAGCCTGGAGGATTCTGCTGTCTCTGCTCCCCAACACTGAGATTATACATCCATGCCACTGTGCCCAGACTTTTCTTTGTGATATCTGGGACTCAAACTTAGATCGTCGTGACTACAAGGCAATTGCTTCACTAACTGAGCCATCTTCCCAGCCCCTTTCCAAGCCTCTTTGACCTGACCTTAGCATCAAATTTACCCATACTGTGGAGACATGCATCTCACGTTACTTGGTTTAGATTCTGAGTTTAACTTTAGTTGTGTTCATTTCTTCTGTTAGCCTTTGTTACATGAATAAAAACACCACGGTTTAAAGCTTTAAAAGTTTCATTTTAATTACTTTCTTTCTCCCGTAAGAGGGAATGGAAAGCTAACTGAAACTTCTTCCCTGGAACTCTAATGTCCAAACCCAGATCTGCTAAGCAACATCAGACCACATGAGAAAATGAGCTGAAACAGCATGTTTTCCCTCGGCTTAATGAGGAACTTCAGTAACTGTAGTTATGCTGTTGCTGTGTGGGGTATAATGATGAAAACAAAATAAGAAGGAAGGCTTTTCTTTGGTTCACAGTTTTGTGGTAAAGCCCATCACTGCCTCCCAGGAAGGCATGGTGGCAGGTGTATGAGGCAGCTGGACACATTGCATATGCAGCCGAGAGGCAGATGGAGATGAATCCTGGTGTCCATGTGGCTTTCTCCATTTTTCCATTTTGTTCAGTTTGAGACACTAACCTAGTAGACTGTACTGCCCACATTTAAGGGGAACTTTCCCTCTGTTAAACTTCTCTGGAAATGCCTCCATAGCCATGCCCATGGACGTGTCTCCTAGGTAACTATAATTCCAGTCAAGTTAGTGATCAGAATCAACCAAGACAGCAACTTAGACAAGTCATGGTTTTTGAATCTTGAATTGAAATGTCTGTGTTATTTAGTATAAGATAACTTCCCCTGTTGTGTAGATGGGCCTATCCTGAAATGTTTACATGTTTGGAATATGTATAAAACTTGAAGCCAAATCAAGTGTATACTATACCATACTGCATGTGAGTTATTATTTACTACTGTATTTGTCTATATATCAATACTACCACTCATGTGGTTTAGCTAGGTTAAGTCAAATTAGAATCCTGGTGCTTTTGCTGCCAGATTCTCGGTGGTCATATATGGTCTAATTTCTGCTATGAGGACCACACATTCTAGGATGAATTCTACCAGAAGATTCTATTAGACATCAATAATCTATAAAATTAGAACAGTAGCTTCCTCAGCAATATTTTTTCTTACTACTTAAATTACTTTAGTACAACTCTTAGAGTTTTAATGCAAATTAAAATGCTTACATCACATTTTAATTAAGCAATGATAAAAGTAAGAATGGCTATGTAAAATTTATGTAATGAAAATAGTGTTGAAAAATAGAAATAAGAAAGATGTATATCCTGAATAATTTACATACAACCTGATGACATTATCCAATTATCTTATTCACTGCATTTAATATATTTTTAGTATTGAATATATTTTATGCACTTATCCACTTCACAAAACAAAAAAATCCATGACTGAATTAGAACTAGAAAGCAACTGGGTTTTTTGTGTTTTTGTAACTCATGTCCATTCACTCCTTCCTTGTCCTCTTGTATTTAGCCTTTCTTGTAATATAGTCAATATCAAAAGTTGAAAACCTAGTATGAAGTACACAGCTTCCATTCCAAATGCCTTTTCTAACTGTATGAAAGTTAACTGGAAGGTACAGATTTGGGGGTCTGGTTAATTGGGGTATATATTTATTTATTTCAAGTTATCTTCTGCAATAAAACCTACACATCCTTTTTAAATACTTTGAATTTTGTGTGTATGAGTATTTTGCCTGCTTTCATGTCTGTATACTACTTGTATGCCTGGTGCCTGCAGAGGATGTAAGAGGGTGTCAGGTCTCCTGAAACTGGAGTTACAGCTGGCTGTGAGCAATCACATGGGTGCTGGGAACTGAACCTGGGTGCCCTGGAAGCAGCCATTGCTCTTCGGTGCTGAGAGCCTCTGCACTATCAACCACATCTGTTCTGAGTGCTTTGCTTTGAAATAACTCTTAAACTGACATCCTGAAGACTTTCCCTTAAATAGAAGTCATAGGACCCTTGTAATTACATTCTGTGTGTAGCCATTTTTTAAGAAGAAATGAGCCTGTGCACCGTAACTCCCTGTCACTAGAAACCTTGTTGACTCAGGAGGATCACAAAAGAGAGAGCTAGCATCTTTCTTACTTTCATCTTGCTAGAATAATAACTGGTTGACATTCACTCATATACCCATAAATGCATTTGTTTAAAACTATCATCTTTGACTTGTAATTTTATATGTCATTGTATAGTAGCCTATATCTCCCACCCCTAGACTACACGCTAGGTCAAAAATGTGGGTTTTGTTTGTTTTGATTTTTCTTCTTCTTTTGTTTTTGTTTTTGTTTTTTTGGAGAGAAGAAGGAAAAAATGAAGTTGGATGGGTAGGGAGATGGGAAGTATGTAGTAGGAGTTGGAGAAAAAAACATGACTAAATATATTAATGAAAATTTCTAGAGAAAAAAATCTATAATTACAAAAAAGTCCCTAACAAATATGAAAAAAAGAAAAGAAAAACCCACAGCTATGTGATGATGATCGTAAAGTAACCCATAGGTCCCACCAGACCCATAGTCTGGATCCATAGCCTAAATCTGAATTCATCCTGACAGATATGTAAAGCTTGGCTCCTTTTCTAACACCTGCCCTGGTGGCAGGATCATCTGATGAGAAGTATTTGTTATGCAGATGTATTTTCTGCATATGCATAATGATATTCAGAGAAATGGAATTTTAGGAGACATATACTGTGATGTAGCCTTTTAAGTGGAAATATGAAAAAGTTGCAAGTGTTTTCTTCTGTCTCACTGATGATTTATCATCTGGTTTTTTCCCTCCCAGGCTACCGACAAGGACACAGGGAACTATAGTGCCATGGCCTACAGACTTATCATACCTCCCATTAAAGAGGGCAAAGAGGGGTTTGTGGTGGAAACATACACAGGGCTCATCAAGACAGCCATGCTCTTCCACAATATGAGGAGATCCTACTTCAAGTTTCAAGTGATCGCAACTGACGACTACGGGAAGGGGTTGAGCGGGAAAGCTGATGTACTGGTAAGTGAGGAACATGAGAGTCTAGCCAGGAGCAAGTGTTTTAGCTATTAGCACTTTTAATATTACTTTGAAATAGACTCTCTAAAATGTAAATGTCATTGAATTTTCATCAAGATATTTGGCCTTTGTAATTAAAAAACAGAGAACATTTGTAGTAACATTCTATTATACATAATAGCATCAGAATCTCCAATGACAGAAATGGCATTCCATTGAGTTACCTGAGTCTGTATAAAATAGTATTCCTGTCTTTTCTTCTCTCAGGCTGAATACAGCTTCATTTTTTTTCCTTCTCATCTGGTGGCATTTATGCTTTACAAGGCTCAGGCTAAGTATTCTTTGTCGCCCTCCTCCCACTGACTTGGCAAGTTTTTTGGTACCATAACTTTAAAGTATCACCTATGTAGTAAAAATGCTTATTCCTGAATACCAGACACTGTCTATCTGTCTGTCTGTCTGTTTATCTATCTTTCTGCCTACCTACTTCTAGCTATCAACAACATCTTTAAATATTTTGCATGATGAATTAAAGTATAATAAGGAATTGTGATTGTCTCAAGGAAAATCATGATTCAATTTGAACTACCCAGATTTTCATAAAATAGATATTTTTATTTGAAGGAACAACTTAGAGACAAAATATGTTTATTCAAGCTGAATATTCGGGAAAGCATTTACGAGGAAATGAATGAAGTAAGCCTTTCATTTCGAGGAAAACAACTGGCAATATTTGCTTCTGGTGACAGATAGCGTTGGAGTTTTCCAATTCAAATCACAGCCCTGGAAAGCTTGTATTCCCCACTGTGAACTTGACAACTCCCCATTATCCAATGACTATGAGATTGTCTGATGAGTTCGGTGCTCATATTAAAAACATTTCCTTTTTCATATTGTATAATGAAATTTGTCGTATTTGAAAAATATGAGCCAGTTTCCAAATGGCACGGACAACATGTTGAAATGCACTCGTAGAGTCAAATATGGGAATACACTGATATGATCCTACTTTTGGAGATGTGGAGAAACAAAAATCAAAAATTCAAGGCCAATGTCAATCATATACAGAGTTCAAGCTCAGTCTGAGCTACGTGAGACTGTGGTCTAAAATAGAAGTAGCAAGATATTAATTTGAAATACAAACAAAAGATCAATTAAAATACAAAAGAAAAACGAAATAGACTTTCATATTTGTAATAGTTGCTTCAGATTTCAAATGAAATCCAGGGTTATAGGAACTAACATTTGAATTTTGGTGCAATATCAAAGAAGAAAATAAACAATTACCCTAAAAGGCTCTTAAACCACTCATTTTGATTCATGAAAGGTGAGTTCATGTGAAGAATAGTTAACAGTCCAGGCAGAGAGGGCAAGTGTGTACAAACACTAGCTATTGGCCTCTTGTAGGTCTGCTGTGGGTTTGAAACTGGATTCTAAAGACTCCATGAATAAAGTCAAATGTCTCCATGAAGTGTTTTATATTGATTTCATGTTGGGGTTGTATTAAACATGTCTTAAACTATTTTTAAATACTTGATTAAAATCATGACTAAAACAATTTTACTAACATTTATCTTCCTAATGTGGTTACCGAGGAATTTAAAATTACAAAGGTCACTTCTTTGTGATTTTGTCCATATTAGATAGAATGGCAATGTTGAATTTCATAGGAATGAGTGGGAAGATTAAAAAATGGCTCATAAGGAAAAAATAAAGGACCTAGTGAAACTGTCATTAGACCTTTGTAGGTCATGTGCTTCTCTTTATTTTGACCACATTTATTAATTTTACTCTCTCACTCAAAGAATTCCCAACAGTGATATAAATGAATATTTATGAAATATTTAAAATCAGCCTGTAGAGAGAAAATAAATCAAGCAATTATATAAGAATGTTTTAACATTATGATTCAATAAAGTAAATTTCTGGAAATATTTGCATAATGATTGTAATAGAAAATTAAGACAAGTGTTATGCTCTTAATCGCTTACACATGCTTGGTGTGGATGCTGAAAAAAAAGCAAAATTCATGATCCAGGATTTCTTTAAAGACTAAAACCTAAGCTATAATGTATTATTCTTCTCATACGTTTATGTTCTGTTACACATCAGCTATCAAAAATTTTAAAAACTGGTTTAAAGATAAGTCTAAGACAACCGATTATAGAATTACAACAGCCTAAATTTATCAACTTAAGAGAAATAGATGTATACTCTTAATTTATTAAAAATAGGTGTGTATTTGAGCCCAGGCTTTATACCTACAAGGTAATTGCTCTTTGTACCTATATGATAATTGCTCTACTGATGTGCAGTTTGTTAGACCCTTACCTACATTTCTTCTTTAGCCTAAGAATATTTTTTTCAAAATTTGTCAAGACAATAATCTCTAAATTGTAAGTGTAGCACATGTGGATTCCAAGAACCTGAAACCTTGCTGGTTACAAAGTGTGCATTTCTTTTTTTTTTTTTTTTCTTATGTAGAGCAGAGTGTTATCAATTAAATTTGACACCCGAATCTTAACTGTCAACATTGCATGCTACTCCTTCCATCAAGTCTAGAGGGAGAGTGCTTTGCTTTTCTGTGACCTAATAAGCATTGTTGTCTACTGTAGGGGGGTTGGCAAGAAGTAGCACAAACAATAAAACCTCAGCAGAAGAGGCCAAGGAAGATAGATAAACCACACCATTCCTCAAATACATGAGAATGCTTATTACATAGTTCCCCAGTGTTGGGTTAGCACTACCTTAATTAAGTCCTTAGGTAAGAAGGCACCAGTTTGACTGTCCTCTGCCCTGGCTGCAGCTTCCCTCATTCATCCGTTGATTCCTTTCCTCCATTCATTTCTTGATTCTGTTCATCTGCTCATGCATTCATGAGTTCCTTCTCTCTACTCGCTCATTGGTTATTATCCTCTGCTTATCCACTCACTGATCCCTTTGGTCCTGGCTCACTCTAATTTAAGATTTGCTAAATGTACCCAAATTTTGGTATTTTCAGTCTAAGGCTTGCCAGGATTTTGGACCTATAAACCTGGCAAGAAATTCCGGCTTACACAAAGTCAATTTTTAGAGGCTTTTGAGACAGGGTCTCACTCTGTATCTCAAGCGCACATTGAACTTGTGATGGTTCTTACCTATGCCTCCCCTCTCATGTGGGATTACAAGCATAGACCACCATGCCTGGCCAAAGGGGGTTAAATTTTCTTTTTTATTTGTTTTTGTTTGTTGTTTTTGATAAAGGGTTTCTCTGTGTATCTCTGGATGTCCTGGAACTCACTCTGTAGACCAGTCTGGCCTCGAACTCAAGGGATCCACCTGCCTCTGCCTCCCTGAGTGCTGGGATTAAAGGGGTGTGCAACTATCACCCAGCTCAAAGGGGATAATTTTAAGAGTGTATACCAGAGACCCCATTTATGAAGATGTGGGTATGGTATATATGAGAAAATGAAAAATAACACTGAATAAATGAGACCCTCCAGAGGACACTCTATAACCCATATTGTCACCTCAACATCCTTCCTCAAAGCACAGGTAGGAGTTGTTTCATCACCAACTCACAGGGCTAGCTCTTGACTCTGAGGGGATCCCAGCAATAGCAGGGGTAGAGAAAGGGGCTAAGGCCCTAAGAGACTCGAGTTTGATTGTTGCACTTCCTGTTGGGGCTGCCTTTCCTCAGGCTGATTGTATTGAACTCTGGAAACCTGCCTGGTCTTTCCTAGTCCATCGTTAAAATAAAGGGAAGAGAAAGGAGAGGGAAAGGAAATGAAGGAAGAAGTCAGAGATAGAAGAAAGGAGCAGTAGAAGAGGGAGTATGGGAAGGGGGAGGAAGGTATGAGGGAGGAGGAAAGGGTGGGGAAGGGAAGGTGGAGGGAGAGGGAGAGTGGAGAGGGAAAGGGAAAGGGAGGGAGAAAAGGAGGGACAAGTTTTAATCTACACTTCTAGAGACTTTTTCCCAGTGTATTTTTACTCCTAAAACCTCAAAAATAATAAAACAAATAAAATTGTGTGGGTGGGGATCCAGCTACCTCCACGGCTCCCCTGTGGGTGTATACCAAACAGATTCTTGATAGAGAATTTGAGAAGATTTATCAGCTTCACTCAATATTAGGCTCATTCGAGCAGTCTCCTAATGAGTTGCGAACATTTTCTGTAATATTTTGGACTTATTTCCTGGGAAATCTAAATGATACAGGATGTCTGAACTTGTTTTCCTACTTGGCACTGCTCAGGGGAAGCCAGCAGAGGCTGGCCTGTTCATAGGAGTGTGTGCCCTCAGAGGCTGGCCCTTTCACAGGAGCCCTCAGATTGCAGACTTCTACTACTTTATCATTTATTCTGTTTTCTACTTTTGTTGTATATGTTTCCTGTCTAATTCCTTAAGGTTTTGTAACATCATCTATGAGTAACTGCATATAGATAACTTGGAGCCAATATAAAATTACATGGCAGCATGAATGTATCCTCCACCATGTATCATGTTGAGATATTCGATGCTAACTGTAACCAACCCAGAATATCCAATTTATAGTTCTGCAGTACATGCACTGGTACTACTGTAATAGTACATGGATATGTAGAGGATTGTACAAGATTTGACTTCACATTCTTGTATAAATATTTGGCCACAGTACAGGATAGAAGTTATGGAGCCACACAGATCTCACTTAAACAGGATTGACTATCAAATTATGGATATGTCATATCCTTTGATCTCTGTCCTAGTTACGGTTACTATTGCTGTGATGAAACACCATGGCCAATAGCAACTTGAGGAGTGCCTTGAATCACAGTCCATTGAAAGAAGATGAGGCAGGAACTCACCCTTTAGGAACCTGGAAACAGGAGCTAAAGCTTACTGGCTTGCTCCTTATGGTTTCCTCAGCCTTCCTATGTCACCCAGAACTGTAAACCTAGGGATAGCAGTACCCACAATGGACTAGGCCCTCCCATGTCAATCACTAGTTAATAAAATGCCCTATGGGCTTGCCTACAGATCAGTTTTATGGAGGCAATTCCTCAAATGAGGTTCCCTTCTCTTAGGTGTCAAACTGACATAAAACAAGCCATCACAATTACACAACAAATATTCAAGTATTTTATAGTTTTCTTATTTAAATTGGAATAACATTAATAACTACTATGGATAATTAATGATAAACTTGAAACCTGTAGAATTCTGAAGAAAAATAAAATAGAATATAGTCAGCATGGAATTTTTTGTTTTATATAAGAAGAGAAGGAACTCATTGAGTACAAAAACAATATAGCATATCCATCAACTATGAATAAGATAGCTCATTTTAGTTCCACTGTAGATTAGTATGTATGCATCTGTAGATTACAGTTGACAAAAGAGACAAGAAGACTGTATGATAGAATTCTGTGGAACTGGATATTCTAACTTGTTTTACCTCAGAATATCAGTTGTAATGAATAAATTATCTGCTAAGGTTTACAAATTTTAAACAGTATATGTTTATTATGCTGGGTGTTCCTTACTAATGAAATCAAGCACAACAAAAATTCTGGTTCTGTTATCATTGTCTCAGTCACTGTTCTATTGCTGTAAAGAGTCACCATAGCCAAGTCAACTATTATAAGAGAAAGCATTCAACTGGGGATTTGATTGCAGTTTCAGAGATTTAGTCAATTATCATCATGGTGAATAACATGACAGCATGCAGGCAGGCACTGGAGCAGTAGCTAAAAGCTATGTCCTGATCCATAGGTAGAGGGAGGGGGAATGGAGTGAGGAGAGTGAGAGACAGACAGACAGACAGAGACAGAGACAGAGAGACAGAGACTGACTCTGGGTCTAACATGGGCTTTTGAAACCTTAAAGCCCACTCCTAGGGACATTCTTCCTCCAACAAGGCTATATCTCCTAATTCTTGTAATCCTTCAGACAATTCCACTGCCTGGTGACTTAGCATTCAAATATAAGCTTCTAGAGACTATTCTCATTCAAACCACCACAGTCATCATAAATAGATTTTTAAAAAGCAAACTCAAAGCCAAAATAATGAAATCCTCTTAGCATATAATTTCTAGGGCCACAGCAAGTACTCTCAACAGTGGTTTATTCCTAATGCCAATAGGAAAACATACAATTTTTCAAAACAATCATTTGGCAATGAGTTACAAACAAGAGACAACAAATTCTACAGATAATAAGGAACAGACAATATTAATACTTAGAAATTTCCACAGTTAGGACTTAAATACATTTTGTTTTTACTTTCCAGGTATCGGTGGTTAATCAACTGGATATGCAGGTCATTGTCTCCAATGTACCACCTACGTTAGTGGAGAAGAAGATAGAAGATCTCACAGAGTAATGGATTTTTTCTTTATAGATTTATCTCCATATAATTGTACTCTTAGTTTGACTGAGCCGTTTAAATTATTGCAATGTTCAGATTATAAGGAAAGTTTTTATGACACTTTCTTCATGCTAATTTTGCTTACTGTTTTCCCAAGCTGCAGAGTTTCTCTGGGAGTTAGGTAAAGGTTCTGAAAATACCTTCAAATAACAATGGACATTAGACTGAGGATAGCCCAGAGTACAGAATGCTTTGATGCAGCAAGACTTCAGGGCACAGTGTAAGCCATTCTCATACATGTAATTTCAGTGTTTTTACCTTGAAATGGCCATGCAAGATAATCCAAAAACTTCATAATTGCAAGATCATAGAATGTACAGAAAGTGCTATTTTTCAAAATGGTATGTCCAATGACACAGCTCATCCTTTTAAAACAAAAGCCTGGTATATTTTAAAGTCATTGTTGATTAACTGTTTAGTGGTTTGATCTCCATTGTTCTGTGATGAAGAGAGATTCCTGTGCAGTGGTCTGATTTGATTCCATATTAAGTGGGTGGTAAGTGACAAACATCAAACATTTAGTGTTAACAAGCACTTCACACCCATTTTGGACAACTGAAGGAATGGCTTTTAGGTCAGATGCAACTGACGTCCATTCTGCTTCTGCTGTGTAATGTGCTAGAATTGCAAAGTGTTCAAGTTCCTGTGTCCGAAGCTGTGTTTCTGTAGAACGTTGACTGTTTCCTTACTTCTGTAGAAGGTTGATTCATTACTTCTGTAGAAGGTCGACTGTTTCATTACTTCTGTAAAGGTTGACTTTTATTTCATTACTTCTGTAGAAGGTTGATGTTTCATTACTTCTGCAAAAGGTTGACTGTTTCATTACTCATGTAGAAGGTTGATTGTTGTTTCATTACTTCTGTAGAAGGTTGACTGTTATTTCATGACTTCTGTAGAAGGTTGATGTTTCATTACTTCTGTAGAAGGTTGTCTGTTGTTTCATTACTTTTGTAGAAGGTTGACTGTTTCATTACTTCTATAGATTGTTGTTTCATTACTTCTGTATGTTGACAGTTTCATTACTTCTGTAGAAGGTTGATTGTTGTTTCATGACTTCTGTAGAAGGTTGATGTTTCATTACTTCTGTAGAAGGTTGACTGTTGTTTCATTACTTCTGTAGAAGGTTGACTGTTTCATTACTTCTATAGAAGGTTGACTGTTGTTTCATGACTTCTGTAGAATGTTGATGTTTCATTACTTCTGTAGAAGGTTGACAGTTTCATTACTTCTGTAGCAGATAGACTGTTTTATTACTTCTATAGAACATTGACTGTTGTTTCATTACTTCTGTAGAACATTGACTGTTTCATTACTTCTGTAGAAGGTTCACTGTTTCATTGCTAGACTTCACCTTGAATGGGATGTTTTAGATGAGCATGTCCTTGGTCCTCTAATTTTTTTCACCTCACTGCAGGACCCATTGGGGAGGGGGTCACTGGATCTCTTGGTCCCTCTTCCCACAGGACCACATTGAATAAATCTCCTCTTTCTGCTTTCTACTTTAATTGAATAAAAATTTTAAAGCGGTATTAGCTTATCAGCTTATGTTCTCTGCTTCCTTAACATTAGTTAGATGATGATTTCATGTGTCATTTTTGTTCATTTTTGAGTTATCCGTATTTACTTTTTGTGATAGAGTCTCTCTGTACCTCAGGCTAGCTTTGAACTCTTGTTTTGCTTTCCTTTGTTTTTCAAGACAGGATTTCTCAGTATAGCTTTGACTGTCCTAGGACTCTCTCTGTAAATCAGGCTAGCCTCAAACTCACAGAGATCCACCTGCATCTTCCTCCCAAGTGCTGGTATTAAAAGGCATGTGCCATCAATGCCTGGATGGCCTTTGAACTCTTGATGCCCCTGCTCAGCTCCCTAATTTTTGGGTTGCATTCTGTGCTCTATGACTGACTTGCTATTATTTATTAACTCTCTATTCTTTAATATTCTGATGGTATCAAGGATTATCAAGCTACAATTGTCCTTTTAGCCTGGTGCCACTTTCTACTTTTTACATGCAGCATGTAATGTTTGGGCCTTCAGTTGGATTCAGGTGGATCAATTTCAACTCTTGTGTAAACATGGTGCTCTCTATGAAAGAATAATCCTAGTTCTAAATATACAGAAAAATCTTCAGATCCTTTGGTAGTTTCTTTTTCAACAATTAAACACTGAATGAAATACAGTAAAGCCTGGCTAGGGCCTGGCTAGCACATGCCATGTTCCCCTATGTACTTTGTAGAGATTTCTTTAGATTTTGTGCTTATAACATTTAATACCATGTAAATGTCCCATGAGATAGGTATTATCACTAGCCACAGACAAGATGGAGCTTTTTATTTACCTCTGCAGTTTATATACCAAAAAATCCCATGAAAATATTAGCTGATGGCACCCAAGAAACAGTAATTCCTGTTTCTTAGCTGCTTTTATTTCACATATAGGCACATGATCTCTCATAATACCAACTAAAAAAGGTGAAACCCTCTTCCCTGGCTGGCTCTTTAGTCTGTTTTATCTTTTCAAAGTATACTCTAATGATCTTATCATTTGTCATTTTCTCCTTAGATTATAATAGAATAAATGCATTAATAGGGTTTAATGCCATCATCATTCCAGTTTTTTTAATTTTTTTCATTTTGCATACCAATCCCAGGTCCCCCTTCCTCACTCCCCCCCCCACCCTCCGCAACCTCCTGTCTATCTCAACCCCCATTCACTCCTCAGAGGGGGTAAGGCCTCATTTAGGGAGTAAACAAAGTCTGACCTACCAGGTTGAGACAGGACCAAACTCCTCCCCCCAGTATCAAGGCTGAGCAAAATCCCATCATAGGGAATGGGCTCCAAAATGTCAGTTCATATACCCAGGATAAGTCCTGGTCCTGCTGCCAGGGGCCTTCCCAACAGACCAAGCCATATAACTGTCACCCACATTCAGAGGGTCTAGTTCGGTCCCATGAAGGTTCCCCAGCTGTCGGTCCATAGTCCATGAGCTCCCACATCTTGGGGCAGCTGTCTCTGTGGTTTTTCCCCCATGATCTTGACCCCCTTTGCTCATAGGATCCCTCCTCCCTCTCTTCAACTGAACTCCAGCAGCTCAGCCCAGTGCTTTGTTGTGGGTCACTGCATCTGCTTCCATCAGTTATTGGATTTAGGTTCTATGATGACAATTAGAGAGGGTGCCTGAATTGGCCTTCCCCCATGATCAATCCAGTTTTATAGGAGGTATTTGATGGCATTTATTGACTGGACATTTAACCCAAATACAATGTGCTCTTTCCTTTATATTGACACAAAAAATGTATTAAACAAAAACTGAAAGTATCAAGATAGAATGATAATTTCATAATCATTTATAAGATTTAATGGCATAAGTGAGTCTGATGGCATAAATGAGAAACTCTGAGATACTGAGATACACACATTATTGCAAAGGAAACTTTGACACGAAGGCCTTTTACTTGCAACAATTTCCCAGACTCAGTTCTAACATTTGTTGATAAGGGCTAGTAAGGCTGGCACACTGATGTTGAGAAACCAAATTACATAAGGGGATAAAAATCAAGAACACCTAGCGAGTGATTATTGTTCTGTGTAAATTGGGCGAGTAGACATTCAGTGGGTTCTGACAGAGAGGCCATGCTTTTGTACCGTCTTTTAAGACAGCAAAGCTTTGTAGTAAAGAGCAGCTTATTAATTCAGATGAATGTGTTTGAATACCATTAGAGCCGTGTGGCCTCTGCCAGCATAGTCATACTTGAAGCTGTTCTTTTCTCATCTTCAAAAGAGGAATGAAAACGTCTTGTTGACCCTGATAGAATCATACATTCTTTATCAAAATAGATGCATACATGCCAGGTTTCCTTTTACTTCCATTCTTAAATATACTTTTTAATTCATAGTTGTATGTTATTAAATAGACTCACGTTATTATTATACATATGCCGTAACTTCCTCGACACGTAAAAAAGATTCGGCATCCATCAATCCATTCAATGCCAGCTCTCTCCTGCCTTTATCCTCTAGTCCTAGTATTCACATTCTGCTGCTAACAGTGTGAATTTGACCTTTTAACTCACGCTGTGGAGTGGAACCATGCATTTCACCTTCTGTGACTGACTAACTTGACTTGGTCTAACATCTATTTTGACATGTGGCCATACCTACTGTGACTCAGCTACTTGGGCATTTGGGGTTTTCTTTTTTGTTTTGCTTTGTTTCTTTCTCTTTCAGGGGAAGTAATATTCCACTGTTATTGGGACCCTTTCCAAATTTCTGACTTCTACCTTTCCTTACTTCACACATATATTAAAAATTATAAGCTAAGATCCACATAAAAAGCCGGGCATTGGTGATGCACACCTTTAATCCCAGCACTCGGGAGGCAGAGGCAGATGGATTTCTGTGAGTTTGATGCCAGCGTGGTCTACAGAGTGAGTTCCAGGACAGGCTCCAAAATAATACGGAGAAACCCTGACTCAAAAAACCAAAAAAATAAAAAATAAAAAAATAAGATCCACATAAAATGGAGAATATGTGGCTTTTGTCTTTCAGGACCTTAATTACCTCATCTAGTATATACTATCTTACAATTTCATTCATTTTCCTGTAAATAATTCCACTGTACTTCACAGCTAAATAAATAAAACTCTACTGAGTATGTGTAATGCCTCAGAGCAGAATAGCTGGGCTAGGCAGCTTTTTTAAGCTTTTTGAGAAATCTCCAATGTTGCTCACAATGGCTTCCTCACATCACACCCACCAACAGTCAATTGGGATTCTCCTTTATCCACACCCAGGACATTTGTTGTCAGTTTTTCTTGATAATAACCATTGTGAACGTGGCAAAGTAAAATCTCAGAGTAATGCTATCATGCATTCTCCTGATGACTAACAATGTTGAACACTTCCAAAACATTTATTGGCCGTTTGTATTTCTTCTTTGAAAAATTCTGTTAAG